GATACTAAAAATAAAAGCCCAAAAACCCAATTTAAATTTTTAAAAATATTTAATTTTTGCTAAACCCCAAAAAACCTTTGCCCCAAAAAAAATTCCCTAAAACAAATGTGCCCCCCCCCATCCGTGATGAATCCCTCCCCCCCCCCCTCACCAGATGGAAGGGACCTTCCTAAAAATGGCACAAAGTCAAAAAGGCTTAAAATAGTGGGCGGTCCCCCCAGATAACTCGAAACCCAAATATCCTCCAAAAACGACCCCCAAAGTTTTGGGATGACAAGGGAAAAACAAAAAACCGCAACACGCCCTCATCCCCACCGACCCCCCCCCCCCCCCCCGCACCACCCCGGGACCCCCGGAAATACCCCGGCCACACGGTTTCCGCCCTCCTCGCAGCGGCGTTATCCAAGGCCTCATTTTCAGGCTCCCCGTTTAACATCTTATATATACCTCCCCCACTACTCCTCAACGTTTCTCTAATTAAGCCAAATCCTTTCCCAATAAACCCTCTAACACCATCTCATCCCTCCAATACACACGTTCCCAAATTTTACAAGATATACCAAGCTGTACTATCATATATTCTTTTTTTCATTCACAATATCAATATTTTAAAATTCCACTCAGACCACCCTAATTACCTCTCTATTTATTTTAAATCATCATATATATCAAATTTTACTGCATACTAAATTAATCATAGAATAACCCCATCAAACAATGTAGTTTCTAATTTCAAGAAAAATTATATTTAAAAAAGTAAATATAAATTATATAAAATAAAATATGACACAACAAGTAAAATAAATAGCAAAAATAATTGAAAAAGAGAATAAATTAGAATATGAAATTAGATATAATAAAAAATTGAAAATTAAATATCAAAACAATAAAAAAATATAATTAAAGATAAAAATTGAATAAACAAACAAATTAATAAAAATTATAGACAGTAAAAAATATAAAAGAATACAAAAATAAATTATCTTTTTATAAATTTTAAATTAAATATTTAAATATGACAACAATAGATATACAACAATCATGGAATTCATATCTAATTGATACTACCATATTGCGTGACCATAGTAACAATTAAGATCGATCAGCATCTAATATATTCAACAACTTAGGGGAAAAAGTATTTCAATCTTTAGGATAACCTTCTTGTCCATCCAATTCTGTTAAATACGGACCTAGTTTATCTTTCGGCGTTGCCATACGCACACCAATGAGGCTCTCAACTCTTTGTCAAAGTTCCCACAGATCCTGTTGAGCTAAAGATGGATCCCTATTTGTGAGCAACTTCCTAAAATGGTGGGACAAACCTGAGTGATGCACTATAAACCTTTGTTAATGGTTTTTCAATATGCTTCCACCCAGTATTATACAGATAAGTTTTCTAGTTGTTTCTTCCAACTTATTCTGAAGGTGACAGGGACATTCCAACAACATTCATTACATGAAGTTCTATCACATGCAAACACATTTGCTGAAGATATTATATAAGTCCCCCTTTAGCCTGTGACTAGTAATTTGTAAGGATTTTACCTATGCCTGTCTACCCTTCATCACTTTCCACAAGCCCCATATCACCTCCACACATTTGTAAAAATTCCCAAACCTGATCCAAAAAAAGTAGGTTCTTCTCTCTTTGAATGTGGGTCTGTGACATTTCTAACAAGTTTTATTCCTAATAAGTTGGATGGTCTCCTATAAAATGACAATGTTATGAGATATGAATTCTTTGATTGTTGCTTTTTTTTTCATTTTTGTTATTTTTATTTGTATTTATTTTTGTTTTTTTTTTCTTATTTTTTTAAATATTTATTTAATATTTGTTTTAGGTTTTTTTTTTTTCATGTATTTTATTCTTCGTATTAGATTAATTAGTATGGAGTAATATTTTTATTATTAAAATAAATAAGAGAAGGTAATTAAGTGTTTGTTGTTTATAATATCGATATTGGTATGTATATGTTGGCTTGGAGATTGTAATTGGGAAGTGGATTGGAGGGATGAGGTGTTAGAGGGTTAATGGGTGGATTTGGGGTTGAATGGAGAAAGGGGAGGAGTAGTGGGGAAGGTATAAAGGATGATTGGAGCTGGAAAATGATGTCTTGGATAACGCCCTGGAGGAGGGTGAAACGTGTCGCCGTATTTCCGGTTCCGGAGGGTGCGTGGTGACGGTCACGTCCGGTGAGTGGAACGCACGCTGGTTTGCGGTGTTCCGGGAGTGACTTCCTGCTTGTCTAGAAGGGGGATTTCTATCTATCTTTGCCAGTCCACTTCTACAAATGGAAATCTGTCATATAATATGAGCCTCTGGGCCTATTATGAAAGCCTGACTATATTTTGTATCATGTGAGTGTATAGAAGGCAGACTTGTTCTTTAAATTAAAGTTTTTTTACAGTATTGCACTATTTGTGGTTTTTGTTTTGTTTTCCATTGTCATCCAATCGTGGGAGTCGTTTCTGGAGGATATTGAGTACAGAGTTATCTGGGAGGACACGCCCACTCATTCTAAGCTTGTCTGACTCTTGTGCCATATCAGGAAGAGTCCATTCCATCTGGTGGGGGGAGGAGCATTCATCATGGATGGGGGGGAGCACATTTGTTTGAAGAATTTTGGAGCATTTTGGAAAAAAAAATTTTATGTGTGGACTTTATTTTTTTTGGGACTTTTATTTATAGTATTTTAATTTTTTATATATAATTTATTTGCGCTGTGGAGTGTTTATAATTTTACTAAAATAATTACATTTCTATGTTCTGTGTTCTGTGTGAGACCAGATATAGTGAATGCAGGATCCGGGGAGAGCAGATATAATGAATGCAGGGTCCCGGGAGACCAGATATAGTGAATGCAGGGTCCAGGGAGACCAGATATAGTGAATGCAGGGTCCGGGGAGAGCAGATATAGTGAATGCGGGGTCCGGGGAGAGCGGATATAGAGAATGCAGGATACGGGGAGAGTGGATATAGTGAATGCAGGGTCCAGGGAGACCAAATATAGTGAATGCAGGGTCCGGGGAGGAGTGTGCGGATGACGTCACGATTCATCGGGACAGCGGTTATAGTACTCTGTATGCGGCTCCTGGAACGACATTACAGCAGGCAATAGCATTCATTAAGTGGCCCCGTGCTTTGCCTGGCATTACATCACTGATGGGGTCTGGTTTGAGCATGTACAGGACTCTGCTGCTGAGATGATACTGCCATCTAGTGTCTAATCAGTACATCACTGGATGTTCATCATACCTGGTGCAATATACACCTCCGGAACGTGAGTGCATTTCTTGTGTTTAATTGATGAATAAAAGTGTAAAAGGATAAAGCACTATGTGGAGTTCTTTGTAATGAGGAATACGGCTGATACAAAGACGCTTATCAGGAGGGAGATTACTTTGGAGTCCTCATTCAACAAGCTGATCTTTTGAGTCCAAATGGGACCAAAAGTGCAGTTAGACGGTAACATTGTATAATGTGCGGTCACACTGCGTGAGGTGAGCAGATATATGGTGGAGGATGTCTTTGCACGGGAATTGATGACAGATGCACATATTTTTTCGTTATCCAAAGGAGAGTTCACAGAAGAAGAACACTTTAATGATTGAACTTGAGTTTTTGAATGACTTTTGTTTGATTCATACTTAGAAAATACTTTTTGATTTTTTTCTGTGATCCTTGTTTTAATATATATTGTTTTATTTAAGTAATACTTTTTTCATTAAATTTTTTTTTTTATTTTTTTTTTTTTTCACTTTGCTTTTTGATATAGGAATTGTGCAATTGTTTCATGTAGCGCAGCATTTTTTTTTCACATCATAATATGATAGTGAATGCAGGGTCCTGGGGAGACCAGAAATAGTGAATGCAGGGTCCGGGGAGACCATTGTTAGTTAATGCAGGGACCGGGAAGACCAGTTATAGTGAAATGCAGGATCGGGGAGAGCAGATATAGTGAATGCAGGGTGTGTGGAGTGCACATATAGTGAATGTAGGGTCCAGTGAGAGTGGATATAGTGAATGCAGGGTCTGAGGAGAGCAGATATAGTGAATGCAGGATCCGGGGAGACCAGATATTGTGAATGCAGGGTCCTGGAAGAGAGAGGATATAGCAATGCAGGGTCCTGAGAGACCAGATATAGTGAATGCAGGGACTGGGGAGACCAGATATAGTGAATGCAGGGTCCAGGGAGGCCAGATATAGTGAATGCAGGGTCCAGGGAGAGCCAGATATAGTGAATGCAGGGTCTGGCGAGAGCGGATATAGTGAATGCAGGGGGTCCAAGGAGAGACTGGATATAGTGAATGCAGGGTCTGGGGAGAGCGGATATAGTGAATGCAGGGTCTGGGGAGACCGGGAGAGGATATAGTGAATGCAGGGTCCGGGGAGACAAGATAATAGTGAATGCGGGGTTCGGGGAGATGAGATATAGTGAATGCAAGGTCTGGGGAGACCAGATATAGTGAATGCAGGGTCCATATAGTGAATGCAGGGTCCGGGAAGAGGGAATATAGTGAATATAGCAGGGTACCAGGGAGAGTGAATATAGTGAATGCAGGGTCCAGGGAGAGTGGATATAGTGAATGCAGGGGTCCCAAAGTAGAGCTGATATATAGTGAATGCAGTGATCGGGGAGTGGATATAGTGAATGAAGGTTCCTGGGAGAGATGATATAGTGAATGCAGGGTCCAGGGAGACCAGATATAGTGAATGCAGGGTCCTGGGAGAGTGGATATAGTGAATGCAGGGTCCAGGGTGAGCAGATATAGTGAATGCAGAGTCCGCGGAGAGCTGGATGTATTGAATTCAGGGTTCGGGGAGAATGATCGTATGTAGTGAATGCAGGGTCCAGGGAGAGCGGATATATATGAATGCAGGGTCCGGGGAGAGTGAATATAGTGAATGCAGGGTCTGGGAGAGAGTGAATATTGTGAATGCAGGGTCAGGGTCCGGGAGAGCGGATATAGTGAATGCAGGGTCCGGGGACAGGAATATTGTGAATGCAGGGTCCGGGGGAGAGTGGATATAGTGAATGCAGGGTCCGGGCAGGGTCCGGGAGACCGAATATGAATGTGAATGCAGGGTCCAGGGAGACCGATATAGTGAATGCAGGGTCCAGGGAGAGCGGATATTGTGAATGCAGGGTCCGGGGGGGGAGAGCAGTTATAGTGAATGCAGGGTCCAGGGAGGAGTGTGCGGATGACGTCACACAAGGTTACCATTCATCGGGACAGCGGTTATAGTACTCTGTAAACGGTTCTTGGAAAGACATTCCAGCAGGCAATAGCATTCATTAAGTGGCCCCGTGCTTTGCCTGGCATTACATTACGGATGGGGTCTGGTTTGAGCATGTACAGGACTCTGCTGCTGAGATGATACTGCCATCTAGTGTCTAATCAGTACATCACTGGATGTTCATCATACCTGGTGCAATATACACCTCCGGAATGTGAGTGCATTTCTTATGTTTAATTGATGAATAAAAGTGTAAAAGGATAAAGCACTATGTGGAGTTCTTTGTAATGAGGAATACGGCTGATACAAAGACGCTGATCAGGAGGGAGATTACTTTGGAGTCATTCAGCAAGATGATCTTCTGAGTCCAAATGGGACCAAAAGTGCAGTTAGACGGTAACATTGTATAATGTGCGGTCACACTGCGTGAGGTGAGCAGATATATGGTGGAGGATGTCTTTGCACGGGAATTGATGACAGATGCACATATTTTTCGTTATCCAAAGGAGAGTTCACAGAAGAACACTTTAATGATTGAACTTGAGTGGATATAGTGAATGCAGGGTCTGGGAAGAGAAGATAGAGTGAATGCTGGGTCCGGGAACAGCAAATATAGTGAATACAGGGTCCGGGGAGAGCAAAAATATAGTGAATTCAGGGTCCGGGGAAGAGAAGATATAGTGAATGCAAGGTCCAGGAACATCAAATATAGTGAATGCAGGGTCCAGGGAGACAACATATAGTGAATGCAGGGTCCGGAGAGTGGATATAGTGAATTCAGGGATTCCGGGAGAGTGGATATAGTGAATGCAGGGTATGGGGAGAGCAGATATAGTGAATGCAGGGTACGGGGAGAGCAGATATAGTGAATTCAGGGTCTGGGGAGACCAGATATAGTGAATGCAAGGGGGTCCTGGGGGAGACAAGATATAGTGAATGCAGGGTTCTGGGAGAGCGATATAGTTAATGCAGGTTCCTGGGAGAATGAATATAGTGAATGCAGGGTCCAGTGAGACCAGATATAGTGAATGAATGGGTCCTGGGAGAGCGAATATAGTGAATACAGGTTCCTGGGAGAACGGATATAGTGAATGCAGGGTCCTGGGAGATAATATAGTGAATGCAGGGTCCGGGGAGAGTGGATATAGTGAATGCAGGGTCCGGGGAGAGCAGATATAGTGAATGGGTCCAGGGTATAGTGAATGCAGGGTCCTGGGAGAGCGGATATAGTGAATGCAGGGTCCAGGAAGAGCGAATATAGTGAATGCAGGGTACGGGGAGAGTGATATAGTGAATGAATGGGGGCCTGGGGAGAGTGTGGATATAGTGAATGCAGGGTCCGGGAGAAAACATATAGTGAATGCAGGGCCCGGGAGAGCTGATATATATGAATGCAGTGATTGGGGAGAGTCGGTATAGTGAATGCAGGGTACAGGGAGAGCAGATATAGTGAATGCAGGTTCGGGAATACCAGATATAATGAAACGCAGGGTCTGGGGAGACCAGGTAAAGTAAATGCCACATCTGGGGATACCAGATATATTGAATGCAGGGTCCGGGAAGAGTGGATATATGAATGCAGGGTCCGGGAGCAGTATGTGATGACAGGTCATAGTGTGATTCAGGGTCCGGGGAGTCAGCGGTTATAGAACTCTGTAAGCGGCTCCAGGAACAACATTACAGCAGCCAATAGCATTCATTAAGTGGCCCCGTGCTTTGCCTGGCATTACATTACGGATGGGGTCTGGTTTGAGCATGTACAGGACTCTGCTGCTGAGATGATACTGCCATCTAGTGTCTAATCAGTACATCACTGGATGTTCATCATACCTGGTGCAATATACACCTCCGGAACGTGAGTGCATTTCTTATGTTTAATTGATGAATAAAAGTGTAAAAGGATAAAAAGCACTATGTGGAGTTCTTTGTAATGAGGAATACGGCTGATACAAAGACGCTTATCAGGAGGGAGAGATTACTTTGGAGTCCTCATTCAACAAGCTGATCTTCTGAGTCCAAATGGGACCAAAAGTGCAGTTAGTTAGAGGTAACATTGTATAATGTGCGGTCACACTGCGTGAGGTGAGCAGATATATGGTGGAGGATGTCTTTGCACGGGAATTGATGACAGATGCACATATTTTTCGTTATCCAAAGGAGAGTTCACAGAAGAACACTTTATTGATTGAACTTGAGTTGAATTGAATGACTTTTCTTGATTCATACTTAACCTCTTGACGTCCGCCTGCTGTTGATAAACGGCATAGGGTGCAGGTCCGGCATTCCAGGGGCGGGTTGCCGTTCATAAACGGCACCCGCCTTTTCTAGCTGTGCGCAGCTCCCTGGAAGCGTGCACCACCGCGATGCGGTGCCCGCTGTGTCCTCCGTACATAGTGAAACACCGATCGTCGGACAGGACCTCTGTACGAGGTCCCGATCATGTGATCACTGATTGGCCAATCAGTGATCAGATGCAATGCAAAGTAGTAGAGCAAGAGCAAGATGTCACTTGTGACGTCATTGCTTACTACGTGTGAAATCTGTGAATGATCACAGAGGTCACATGGTACAAGGCTATTCAGTGAACAGCCTTGTACCATGTGACAAGCTGTGACCAATCACAGACTCACTCAGTAATTCTCAATGACTGCAAGAATGCAGACAGAGAGAAAGATAAAGTGATGGTTTTTCATCCTATATGGGTGTAAAAGCAATCAGTGTAAAAAAAAAAAAAAATAGTGAATGCAGGCCCCACAAGTAGTACAGTGTCACCATGGTGACACTGTAGGCTAGGGGGTGACAGTATGTAAAAAAAATGCAGGGTAATAATTATATAAAATAAAATAAAAATATAAAAAAAAATGTTTGAAAAATGATAGGGTTTGGTTATAAACTAATTTAGGATTTTTTTTTTTTTTTTACTAAAAAAAAAAAGTGAATGCAGGTTGGCCAGATTTATATATGAAATATTATTTATTTGCAAAATTTTATTAAAAAAAACACTTTTTTCATTTCAATTTTTTTGGACATTTTCATTTACATAGTAAAAAAAAATGAATGCAGCGGTGAATAAATACCACCAAAATAGTGAATGCAGGGTCTGGGGAGAAAAAAATGGTGAATGCAGGGTCTGGGATTCATAGGATACAGTGATTGCAGACCGCGCAATTGTCATTCAATGCATAGCGCTTAAAGCTGAGAATTGCCCTGGACAGGAAGGGGGTAAAAGTGTCCGGGTCAGGAAGTGGTCAAAAAATACTTTTTGATTTTTTTTGTGGTCCTTGTTATATATATATAGAGAGAGAGAGGGAGACATTTACTTAATGCAGGGTTTCAATAATTTTTTTTTATTATTTATTTTTTTCACTTTGCTTTTTTGATATATAGGAATTGTGCAATTGTTTCATGTAGCGCAGCATTTTTTTTTTACTGGAGACCAGATATAGTGAATGCAGGGTCGGGGGAGACCTGATATAGTGAATGCAGCATTCAGGGAGAGCGGATATAGTGAATGCAGGGTCCGGGGAGATCGGATATAGTGAATGCAGGGTCCAGGAGACCAGATATAGTGAATGCAGGGTCCGGGGAGACCAGATATAGTGAATGCAGGGTCCGGGGAGACCAGATATAGTGAATGCAGGGGTCCTGAGATAGTGGATAAAGTGAATGGAGGGTCCTGGGAGAGCGGATATAGTGAATGTAGGGCCAAGGGAGACAAGATATAGTGAATGAAGTATCCTGGGAGAGTAGATATAGTGAATGCAGGGTCCAAGTAGAGCGGATATAGTGAATGCAGGGTCCTGTGATACCAGATATAATGAATGCAGTGCCTGGGGAGACCGGATATAGTGAATGCAGAGTCCGGAGAGACCAGTGGATGGGGGGTCCTGGGAGATTGGATATAGTGAATGCAGGGTCTGGGGAGAGCGGATATAGTGAATGCAGGCTCCTGGGAGACCAGATATAGTGAATGCAGGGTCCTGAGATAGTGGATAAAGTGAATGGAGGGTCCTGGGAGAGCGTATATAGTGAATGTAGAGCCCAGGGAGACAAGATATAGTGAATGAAGTGTCCTGGGAGAGCAGATATAGTGAATGTAGGGTCCAAGTAGAGCGGATATAGTGAATGCAGGGACCGGGTGACCAGATATAATGAATGCAGTACCTGGGGAGAGCGGATATTGTGAATGCAGGGATCGGGGAGACCGGATATAGTGAATGAAGGGTCCATGGAGAATGGATATAGTGAATGCAGGGTCAGGGGAGACAGGATATAGTGAATGCAGGGTCAGGGAGAGTGGATATAGTGAATGCAGGGTCCGGGGAGAATGAATATAGTGAATGCAGGGTCCGGGGAGAGTGGATATAGTAAATGCAGGGTCCGGGGAGAATCAGATATAGTGAATGCAGGGTCCGGGAGAGCAGATATAGTGAATGCAGGGTCCTCAAGAGAGGGATATAGTGAATGCAGGGTCTGGGGAGAGCGGATATAGTGAATGCAGGGTCCGAGGAGACTAGATATAGTGAATGCAGGGGCCTGGGAGAGTGGATATAGTGAATGTAGCGTCTAGGGATAGCAGATATAGTGAATGCAGGGTCCGGGGAAAGCAGATATAGAGAATGCAGGGTCCGGGGCGGATATAGAGCAGAGGACAGGAAGAGCGGATATATAATGCAGGGTCCGAATGCAGGGGTTCCTGGGGGAGACCGGATATAGTGAATGCAGGTCCAGGGAGAGCAGATATATTGAATGCAGAGGACAGGAAGAGCGATATAGTGAATGCAGGGTCCGGGGAGAGACTGGATATAGTGATAGGGTGAATGCAGGGTCCGGGGAGACCGGATATAGTGAATGCAGGGTCCGGGGAGACAGATATAGTGAATGCAGGGTCCAGAGAGAGCAGATATAGTGAATGCAGGGCCCGAGGAGATTAGATATAGTGAATGCAGGGTCCAGGGAGAGCAGATATAGTGAATGCGGGGGTCCGGGAGAGCAGATATAGTGAATGCAGGGTCTGGGGAGAGCGGATATAGTGAATGCAGGGTCCGGGGAGACCGGATATAGTGAATGCAGGGTCCGGGGAGACCGGATATATAGTGAATGCAGAGTCCAGGGAGAGCAGATATATAGTGAATGCAGGGGCTGAGGAGACCAGATATAGTGAATGCAGGGTCTGGGAGAGCGGATATATAGTTAATGCAGGGTCTGGGGAGACCAGTTATATTGAATGCAGGGTCCTGGAAGACCAATTATAGTGAATGCAGGGTCCGGGGAGAGCAGATATAGTGAATGCAGGGTCCGGGGAGAGCAAATATAGTGAACGCAGGGTCCGGGAGAGCGGATTTAGTGAACGCAGGGTCCGGGCAGAGCGGATTTAGTGAATGCAGGGGGTCCGGGAGACCGGATTTAGTGAATGCAGGGTCCGGGGAGAGCGGATATAGTGAATGCAGGGTCCGGGGAGACCAAATATAGTGAATGCAGGGTCCGGGGAGACCGGATATAGTGAATTCAGGGTCCGGGGAGACCGATATATAGTGAATGCAGGGTTCGGGGAGACCGGATATATAGTTAATGCAGGGTCTGGGGAGACCAGTTATATTGAATGCAGGGTCCTGGAAGACCAATTATAGTGAATGCAGGGTCCGGGAGAGCAGATATAGTGAACGCAGGGCCCCGGGGAGAGCAAATATAGTGAACGCAGGGTCCGGGAGAGCGGATTTAGTGAACGCAGGGTCCGGGGAGAGCGGATTTAGTGAATGCAGGGTCCGGGGAGACCGGATATAGTGAATGCAGAGTCCAGGGAGAGCAGATATATAGTGAATGCAGGGGCTGGGAGAGCTAGATATAGTGAATGCAGGGTCTGGGGAGAGCCAGTTATATAGTGAATGCAGGGTTCTGGGAGAGCAGATAGTAGTGAATGCAGGGTTGCAGGGGAGAGAGCAGGTATAGTGAACGCAGGGTGTGGGGAGAGCAATATAGTGAGCGGGGTCCCGGGAGAGCGGATATAGTGAACGCAGGGTCCGGGGAGAGTGGATATTTAGAATGCAGGGTCCAGGGAGAGCGGATATGGTGAATGCAGGGTCCAGGGAGAGTGGCTATATTGAATGCAGGGTCCAGGGTTTGGTAACACTTTCAAACCTGTCCATTTTATGTTGCGCTTTGCAGAAACACACAGTAGTCCATTGAACATGATTTCCTATGGGGCACGTTCACATCTCTGCATTTTCACCCGAAGCATTTTTTTAAATGTTCAGGGACTTTTTTTAAACTCAAAAAGCTGCATTTTTGGTTCTATAGACATCAATGGAGACGCTGCAGAAAAAAGTAAAGTTTGGTGGAGGGGAATTATGGTGTGGGTTTGTTCCTCAGGGGTTGGGTTTGGCCCTCTAATTCCAGTGAAGGGAACCCTTAAGGCGACATTTTGGACAATTTCATGCTCCCAGCTTTGTGGGAAGAGTTTGGGGATGGCCTCTTCCTGTTCCAACATGACTGCTCACCAGTGCACAAAGCAAGGTCCATAAAGACATGGAGGAGCCAGTTTGGGGTGGAGGAACTTGACTGGCCTGCACAGAGTCCTGACCTCAACCCCATAGAACACCTTTGGGATGAATTACAGAGGAGACTGCGAGCCAGGCCCCCTCCCCCGACATCAGTGCCTGACCTGACAAATGTGCTTCTGGAAGAATGGTCAAACCCAGTGGCGTGGTTAGGGGACTTCTGCAGCAGACCTGATGGCCCCATTGTGGTTGAGGCTTCTGGGGGAGGTTGAGGTGCAATGTGGGTCACCTGGTCCTACAGCAGAGATTGGGGGCACAATGGAGGGCTGGGGGCTCTACAGCAGGCTGGGGGGCACTGTGGAAACTGTGGGCTCTTGGGGGGGGGGGCACTGTGTGCCTCAATAGAAGGTTGTGGGCCAATTAAACCGCCCACCATGGCGTGGGTGTGGGGAGAAACTCATGCAAGCACCAGGAGACCAGGCAAACTCCATGCTGGAAATGTGAACCAAGGACCCCAACGCTGCAGGGCAGAAGTGCTAACCACTATGCCACTGTGAATATGGCGCCCCTTACAATGATATATGTGTGCTTTCCTGTACGGTGTGCAAGGGACAATTCAGCAGTTTATATTTGTGCTCTGCCTTCTATGGAATGGCTTGCCACAGGTATGGCAGCCTCTTTGCAATGGTGATGGGGGGGGGGGTTAGATTTTTGCAGGATTTATGCAGGACGCTACAACAACACCCAGGAATCATGATGGATACACTACACAGCGTGTTCACAGATTACATAGTAATTACATAGTTAGTCTGGCTGAAAAAAGACAAAAGTCCATCCAGTTCAACCATTAAAAAAAAAAAAAGTGATAATCCTACACCCACAGTTGATCCAGAGGAAGGTAAAAAAAACCCCAGCAAAGCATGATCCCATTTTTCATGTTAAAATTTCTAAAACAAATATTTTATATTGATGAGGAATGAAAAACATAAAACAGTTTAATATGTATATAAAAAAAAACAAATGTGAGATTACAATTGGCCCGAAACCATTCAAATTTCCTTTAATTTCCATTAAAAAGTGCAGCATCTCAAACCTCCACTAGGTGTCTCCCTACTACAGGTTATACCATACACTATATTGCCCCAAGTATTGGTCAGCCAGGGGCTCCATTCACAGCCGGGCATTTTGAATCGCTGGAAGAATCGCCGTGACTCCGCCTGCGATTTAAAAAACACTCTGCTGGAAGGACAAACCACACCGTTCATTTTAATGGCACCTAAAATCGCAGTGCGGTCCTGCTGTGATCGTCGCACGGTAAATTATGGCAAGCCGCATCACACGAGGCCTGTCTCCCAATAGAAGCTCCGGCTCCTTTTCTGGACAACAGGCTTCACGTTGATGCGGTTTGCCACAATTGTAGCATGATTTATCGCATGACAATCGCGGCAGGACCGCGCCTCGCTTTTGGGTGCCATTAAAATGAATGGCATCTGATATTTGAGTTGTGCGATTTGTCATTTGGGCCGAGCGTTTTGAAATCGCAGGCAGAATCGAGGCAATTCTGCCCGTTAATCAAAATGCCCGGGTGTGAATGGAGCCTTAGTGCCCGGTCACACCGCTGCGATTTGGGAATGGAAATCACACCTGAAATCTCATCTAATGAATGTGAATATCGGTGTCTTACATCCCGGTCACATTGGGTGCAATTTGGTATGACATGCGACTTGAAAATCGCATGCCAATTTGCACCCTATTGTCCTCAATTGGAGCGGTCATATCCATGCGATTCCGACTTGGTCGGAGGCGCACCGATTTCTAAAGTAGCGCATGCATTACTGTTGGTGCGATTTGTATAGACATCTGTGTCTGATGTCTTGCAAATCGCACCAGAAATAGGCGGTTCACCTGACTTTGAAATCGTGTGACTTCACTGTAAGTCGCACGATTTCAAAGCCAGGCTTGATGTGACCGGGGGCTTAACGTGTGCGATTTGCTGCGGCGCGATTTCCAAAGTAGTTTATCGCATGACTTTTTCTGCCGTTGTGTTGCGATTTCACCTACATAGAATAGAATGGAAATCGCTCTGCAAAACGCAAGAAATCGCTGAACATCTTCACAAGTAGCAATAGTGCCCGGTCACACCGGTGTGATTTCAGGTGCGATTTGGGAATTGAAATCGCATCTAATGAATGTGAATGTCGGCGTCTTAACATTTGCAATTTGCTGCGGCGCGATTTCTAAAGTAGATCTTGAATGACTTTTTCTGCAGTTTTGTTGCGATTTCACCTACATAGAATAGAATGGAAATTGCACCGCAAATGGCAAGAAATCGCTGAAAATCTTCACAAGTCGCAATAAAGTCTTCAGAAATCACACACAAATTGCATGATTTCAAATCGCAGAGGTGTGACCGAAAATCACTAATGACTGAAAGGAAAGCCTGCCTGGCTGGTATGGTCAGGGATTTTTTTCTCAGAAAATAGGTGCAGGTACCCCTCCCCCCACTTCCTTTCACCTCACTGCTTGTCTCCGCCCCCTACCCACCTCCAAGCACCGTCTCTATTGTTACTGGTAACAAGAAAAGCAGTACAATAGATCCACTTAGCCAGGAACAATAGATCTCCCCACCAACAATAGACCCCCTCAGCAACAACAGATCCTGCAAAATAAAATACCCCTTCCCCCAACAACAATCAATCCCCCACAACAATAGATCCCCAGCAACAAATACCCCCTGCCTCAGCAACAATAGATCCCCAACAACAAATACCCCCTGCCTCAGCAACAATAGATCCCCAACAACAAATACCCCCTGCCTCAGCAACAATAGATCCCAAACAACAAATACCCCCTGCCTCAGCAACAATAGATCCCCAACAACAAATACCCCCTGCCTCAGCAACAATAGATCCCCGAAACAAAAATACCCCCTGCCTCAGCAACAATAGATCCCCAGCAACAAATACCCCTCCTCAAACAACAACAACAAATACCCCCTGCCTCAGCAACAATAGATCCCCAACAACAAATACCCCCTGCCTCAGCAACAATAGATCCCCAACAACAAATACCCCCTGCCTCAGCAACAATAGATCCCAACAACAAATACCCCCTGCCTCAGCAACAATAGACCTCATACAGCAACAATAGATCACCTGCAACAAAATACCCCCTCCCACCAGAAGCAATAGATCTTCCACAAGAAAATACCCCCCTCCCCCAGCAACAGTAGACCTCCCATGACAATAATTTATTAACCGCCTCCCGCCCGCCATATAGTCCAATGACGGGCACAAGGTGGTTCTCTCGTTCTGGGAGGACGTCATATGACGTTCTCCCATTCTAACCACGCATGCACGGCTCAGGGAGTGCGCAGCACGGCGATCGGCGGTGTGTTGTGTCCCTCAGACACAGCGCATCACTGATCAACGGAAAGAGCCGATGATGTTGGCTTGGTCATGTGATCAGCTGTGTCCAATCACAGCTGATCTCATGTAAATAGGGAAATGCTGGTTATCGGCATTTCTCTCCTCACGAGCTGTCACACTGACAGAGGAGAGCCGGTAATCAGCATTCCGCGGAGGGGACGTGTACACTGATCATCAGAGTAGTGATGATCAGTGTGCCCTGATGATCTGTGTAGCCCCAGCAGTGCCACCTGTCAGTGTCCATCAGTGCCACATCATTGTCACATTTCAGTGCCTACCAGTGCACATCAATGCCACATAACAGTGCCCATCTGAACTGCCTTTCAGTGTCACCCATCAGTGCCAGTCAGTGCCACCTATCAATGCCAGTCAGTGCCACCTATCAGTGCCAGTCAGTGCCACTTATCAGTGCCAGCAGTGCCGCCTATCAGTGTGCATCAGTGCGGTCGATCAGTGCCCGTCTGTGCTGCCTATAAGTGCCACCTAACAGTGCCAGTCAGTGCTGCCTATCAGTGCCCATCAGTGTTGTCTGTCAATGCCCATCAGCGCCACCTACTAGTGCCTCCCCATCAGTGCCACCTATCAGTGTCCACCAGTGCAGCCTATCAGTGCCCATCACTGCAGCCTCCTTAGCGCACATCAGTGAAAGAGAAATATCACTTATTTACAAAATTTTATAACAAAAACTAAGAAAAAAACTTTTTTTTTCAAAATTTTTCAGTGGTTTTTGGTTTGTTTAAGAATAAATAAAAACCCCAGAGGTGATTAAATGCCACCAAAATAAAGCTCTGTCCGCACCCTGCTTGTGCGCGCTCCCTGGGAGTGCGCAGCACCGCGATCCGGTGCCCGCTGTGTCCTCCGGACACAGTGAAACACCGATCGTCGGACGGGACCTCTGTACGAGGTCCCGATCATGTGATCACTGATTGGCCAATCAGTGATCACATGCAAAGTAGTAAGCAAGATGTCACTTGTGACATCATTGCTTACTACGTGTGAAATCTGTGAATGATCACAGAGGTCACATGGTACAAGGCTATTCACAACAGACTTGTACCATGTGACAAGCTGTGACCAATCACAGCTCACTCTGTATTTCTCAATGACTGCAGGAATGCACACAGAGAGAAAGAGAAATGATTGCTTTTACATCCTATATGGGTGTAAAAGCAATCATTGTAAAAAAAAAAAAAAAAAAAATCTTCATCACCCCCCACAAGTAGTACAGTGTCACCATGGTGACACTGTACTGCTAGGGTGACAGTAATGTAAAAAAAAATAAATAAATAAAAAAAAATAATATAAAAAAAAAATAAAAATTTAAAAAAAAAAAAATGTTTAAAAATGATAATTTTTGGTTATAAACTAATTTGTTTTTGTTTGTTTTTTTACTAAAAAGATAACAAAATACATTTTGGCAAAGATTTATGATGAAATATTATTTATTTGCAAAATTTTATAAAAAAAACACTTTTCTTCAAAATTTTTGGACATTTTCATTTACATAGTAAAAAAAATAAAAATCCCAGCGGTGAATAAATTACCACCAAAATAAAGCTTTATCTGTCTCAAAAAAATGGTAAAAATTTCATATGGGTACAGTGTTGCATGACCGCGCAATTGTCATTCAAAGTGTGACAGCGCTGAAAGCTGGAATTGGCCTGGGCAGGAGGGGGGTATAAGTGCTCTGTAGGCGAGGGGGTAATTGATGTATTTTACTAAAAAACACAGATTGTCAAAACTGAGCC